GTGGCATGGTTGTTGGTGCCAGACGGGCTGATCTGAGTATTCCAAAAACTGCTGATCTACTGAGATTTGCACACACAACCATCTCTAGGGTTTACAGAGAATGGTCCAAAAAGGAGAAAATGCCTTCTTGATGTCAGAGGTTGGAGAATAGGCAGACTGGTTGCTGCGACATTCAGATGTTAAGATCAAAATTTGGAGTAAGCAACATGAAAGCATGGATCCATAGTGTGGGGGAGATTTTCTTGGCACTAGCAAGGTGGACCTGATAAAGTGGCCGGGGAGTGTAAAGGAAATTCTTCACATACATCAGCAATATAAGTTCACATTATTTCTACTGATCACTAATTAAGAAGCATTCTTTAAGTAAGCATTCTTACCACTGACCCCCAATGTAAGGGACATTCTTCCCACTGACCCCCAATGTAAGGGACATTCTTCCCACTGACCCCCAATGTAAGGGACAATCTTCCCACTGACCCCCAATGTAAGGGACATTCTTCCCACTGACCCCCAATGTAAAGGACATTCTTCCCACTGACCCCAATGTAAGGGACATTCTTCCCACTGACCCCCAATGTAAGGGACATTCTTCCCACTGATCACCAATGTAAGGGACATTCTTCTCACTGATCACCAATGTAAGGGACATTCTTCCCACTGATCACCAATGTAAGGGACATTCTTCCCACTGACCTCCAATGTAAGGAGCATTCTTCCCACTGATCACCAATGTAAGGGACATTCTTCTCACTGACCACCAATGTAAGGGACATTCCTCTCACTGACCCCCAATGTAAGGGACATTCTTCCCACTGACCACCAATGTAAGGGACATTCTTCCCACTGAGGGACATTCTTCCCCAATGTAAGGGACATTCTTCCCACTGATCACCAATGTAAGGGACATTCTTCCCACTGACCCCCAATGTAAGGGACATTCTTCCCACTGACCCCCAATGTAAGGGACATTGCTCTCACTGACCCCCAATGTAAGGGACATTCTTCCCACTGATCCCCAATGTAAGGGACATTCTTCCCACTGACCACCAATGTAAGGGACATTCTATCCACTGACCCCCAATGTAAGGGACATTCTTCCCACTGACCACCAATGTAAGGGACATTCTTCCCACTGATCACCAATGTAAGGGACATTCTTCCCACTGATCACCAATGTAAGGGACATTCTTCCCACTGATCACCAATGTAAGGGACATTCTTCCCACTGACCACCAATGTAAGGGACATTCTTCCCACTGATCACCAATGTAAGGGACATTCTTCCCACTGATCACCAATGTAAGGGACATTCACCAATGTAAGGGACATTTCCCACTGACCACCAATGTAAGGGACATTCTTCCCACTATCGACCAACAATCATTGAACGACTCTCCATGAGAACCAATCAATGTAAGCCATGGATAGGTGTGACCTCTGTATCAGCAATGAAGATAATGACTGGGACATTTATGGAGCCTATCATTGTGACCATGAGGAAGAGAACCAATATGGCGGTGATGGGAATATTCCATGCGGCATTTGTATTTAGCTGACCCACGTGTGAAACATACCATCCTTTGTTCTCAATAAACAACCAATGGACGACTCTCTATGACGTGAGTACATTCCAATCACCAAAAATGTGAAAATCAGAATACGTGATTACTACACAAATATTAACAAATTTTAATATTGACTAATGGGCTGGTCCAATGGAAAGCTGACTTCTGCCATGAAAAGGAAAAAAGTAGGGGGGGAAACCCTGAAAGATAAATGGACTCGGCCCTCAAAAAAAACAATACAAACTTAAAAACAGAATGTTTTATTAAAGCACAATTTTTGAATCAACCATACACAGGAATTCATTCTAAGATCACATGACTGTAACAGCATGATCTCATAATAAGGTCCTAATTGTTACAAATCCACCCCCCCGATGGGAGAGAATGTTGACTCCTCTACGCGTTTCGTGGAGTTAATCCACTGGGCCTCCAGCTGTTTCAGAACTACAAGACCCATCATGCCTCTGCTTCAGGGAGTCTTGCAAGGCCTCATGGGACTCGCAGTTCCTCAACACCTGGAGGGCCATAGTTTGGAAACCCTTGGTTTAGAGGAGCGCCTTGAAGAAGTCCTCCTCCCCCTGAAATGTCTCCCATGTTGTCATGTTACAATGTATTCCCCCTCCCCCCTGAAATATCCCCCATGTTGTCATGTTACAATGTATCCCCCCCCTGAAATGTCCCCCATGTTGTCATGTTACAATGTATTCCCCCTCCCCCCTGAAATGTCCCCCATGTTGTCATGTTATAATGTATCCCCCCTCCCCCCTGAAATGTCCCCCATGTTGTCATGTTACAATGTATTCCCCCTCCCCCCCTGAAATGTCTCCCATGTTGTCATGTTACAATGTATTCCCCCCCATGTTGTCATGTTACAATGTATCCCCCCCGAAATGTCCCCCATGTTGTCATGTTACAATGTATTCCCCTCCCCCCCTGAAATGTCCCCCATGTTGTCATGTTACAATGTATTCCCCTCCCCCCCTGAAATGTCCCCCATGTTGTCATGTTACAATGTATCCCCCCCCTGAAATGTCCCCCATGTTGTCATGTTACAATGTATTCCCCCCCCATGTTGTCATGTTACAATGTATCCCCCCCCTCCATGTTGTCATGTTACAATGTATTCCCCCCCCCCCCATGTTGTCATGTTACAATATATTCCCCCCCCATGTTGTCATGTTACAATATATCCCCCCCCATGTTGTCATGTTACAATGTATCCCCCCCCCCCCCCATGTTGTCATGTTACAATGTATCCCCCCCCCCCTCCATGTTGTCATGTTACAATGTATTCCCCCCCCCCCATGTTGTCATGTTACAATATATTCCCCCCCCATGTTGTCATGTTACAATGTATCCCCCCCATGTCGTCATGTTACAATGTATTCCCCCCCATGTTGTCATGTTACAATATATCCCCCCCCATGTTGTCATGTTACAATGTATTCCCCCCCATGTTGTCATGTTACAATATATCCCCCCCATGTTGTCATGTTACAATGTATCCCCCCCCCCTCCATGTTGTCATGTTACAATGTATTTATTGGGATTGGATGTGATGGACCGACACAAAGTGGCACATAATTGTGAAGTGGAAGGAAAATGAGAAATGGTTTCCAACATTTGTGACCAATAAATCTGTGAGAAGTGTGGCGGCATTTGTATTCGGCCCCCCCAGAGTCAGAACTTTGTAGGACCCCCTTTGGCTGCCATTCCAGCTGCACGTCTTTTTGGGGATGTCTCTTTGCACATCTAGAGAGGGACATTTCTGCCCATTCTTCTTTGCAGAATGGCTCAAGCTCTGTCAGATTGGATGGAGAGCGCCTGGGAACAGCAATTTTCAGGTCTGGCCACAGATTGTCCTTTGGATTTGGGTCTGGACTGTGACTGGGCCATTCTAACACATGAAGATGCTTTGATCTGAACCATTTCATTGTAGCTCTGGCTGGATGTTTTGGGTCGTTGTCCTGCTGGAAGGGGAACCTCCACCCCGGTCTCAAGTCTTCTGCAGACTCTAACAGGTTTTCTTCTAAGATTGCCCTGTATTTGGCTCCATCCATCTTCCCATCAACTCTGACCAGGTTCCCTGTCCCTGCTGAAGAAAAGCATCCCCACCACATGATGCTGCCACCACCATGCTTTACGGTGAGGATGGTGTGTTCAGGGTGATGTGCAGTGTAAGTTTTCCACCACACATAAAGGCCGTAAAGTCCCATTTTGGTCTCCCCTGACCAGAGCCCCTTCTTCCACGTTTGCTGTGTCCCCCACATGGCTTCCCGAAAACTGCAAACGGGACTTCTCATGGCTTTCCTCCAACAATGGCTTTCTTCTCATCACTCCTCCATAAAGGTCAGATTTGTGGAGTGCACGACTAATAGTTGTCCTGTGGACAGATTCCCCCACCTGAGCAGCTCCTCCAGAGTTCCCATGGACCTCTTGGCTACTTCTCTGATGAATGCTCTCCTTGCGCGGCTGGTCAGTTTATGTGGACGGCCATGTCTTGGTAGGTTGGCAGCTGTGCCGTACTCTTTCCATTTTCAGGTGATGGATTGAACAGTGCTCCATGAGAGGTTCAAAGCTTGGGAGATTTTCCTATAATCTGCTTTACACGTCTCCACAACTTTATCCCTGACCTGTCTGGTGTGTTCCTTGTCCTTCATGATGCTGTTTGTTCACTAATGTTCTCCAACAAGGGCTTCACAGAACAGCTGGATTCATCCTGAGATCACATGACACACAGGGGGACTCTATCTACTAATTAGGTGACTTCTGAAGGCAATTAGCTCCACTAGATTTTAGTTAGGGGGATCAGAGTCAAGCACGCTCTCCATCCAATCTGACAGAGCTTGAGCCATTCTGCAAAGAACGGGCAAAAATGTCCCTCTCTAGATGTGCAAAGAGACATCCCCAAAAAGACGTGCAGCTGGAATGGCAGCCAAAGGGGGTCCTACAAAGTATTGACTCCGGGGGGGCCGAATACAAATGCCGCCACACTTTTATTGGTCACAAATGTTGGAAACCGTTTCTCATTTTCCTTCCACTTCACAATGATAGGCCACTTTGTGTCGGTCGATCGCATCCAATCCCAATAAAATACAGTTTTGTTGTAACATGACAAAGTGTGGGAAATTTCAAGGGGTTTGAAGACTTTTTCAAGGCACTGAACTTCCTGTAGACCTACATATGTCACATCTCACCTTAAAAAAAGTTGCATTTTTTTGCAGCTCTCAAACATTCAGATTTGACATGAAAAGATTATTCGTCTTTGTGAATTTTTTGGGGTGATTTTCTGTGTTTAGAACATTTCCCACACTTGACATAGAAAGACGCGGACATGCTTGTTAGTTTTTCCCCCCCTTTGTCCGTCTGTTAGTCCTTGTGAATTCTCTGGTGTCCAGCAAGTGAACGTTTTTGAGTGAAACCTTTCCCACACACCGGACATGAATAAGGGCGCTCCCCCGTGTGAGTTCTCTGGTGAACAACAAGGTCTCCTTTCTGAGTGAAAGATTTCCCGCACTCTGAACACGAAAAGGGACGCTCACCCGTGTGAGTTCTCTGGTGTAGAACAAGCTCAGCTTTTTGTTTGAAACATTTCTTGCACTCTGAACATGAAAAGGGACGCTCGCCCGTGTGAATTCTCTGGTGTACAACAAGTGAACCTTTTAGAGCGAAACCTTTCCCACAGACTGAACATGAATAGGGGTGCTCGCCTGTGTGCATTCTCTGGTGTCCAGAGAGTGAACGTTTATCAGTGAAAGCTTTTCCGCACACTGAACACGAATAGGGACGTTCACCTGTGTGAGTTCTCTGGTGAATAAGAAGTACGGCTTTCTGGCTGAAAGATTTCCCGCACTGTGAACAGGAAAAGGGGCGCTCACCTGTGTGAGTTCTTTGGTGACTAAGAAGTGCTCCATTTTGTTTGAAACATTTCCCGCACTCTGAACATGAGAAAGGACGCTCGCCTGTGTGAATTCTCTGGTGTACAACAAGTTTTCCTTTTCGATTGAAACATTTCCCACACTCTGAACATACAAAAGGACACTCACCCGGTGTGAGTTTTCTGGTGTATACGAAGATGTCCCTTCTGAACGAACGTTTTTCCACACTCGGAACAGGAATAGGGACGCTCACCCGTGTGAATTCTCTGGTGAACAAGAAGGTCTCCCTTTGTAGCGCAGGATTTCCCACACTCTGAACATGAAAAGGGATGTTTACCTGTGTGAATCATCTGGTGTTTAAGAAAGTTTCCTTTATGATTAAAACATTTCCCGCACTCTGAACATGAGAAAGGACGCTCACCCGTGTGACTTCTCTGATGAATAAGAAAGCTTCCTTTCTGACTGAAACATTTCCCGCACTCTGAACATGAGAAAGGACGCTCACCCGTGTGAGTTCTCTGGTGAATGAGAAAGCTTCCTTTATGACTAAAACATTTCCCGCACTCTGAACATGAGAAAGGCCGCTCACCCGTGTGACTTCTCTGGTGAATAAGGAGATTTGCTTTATGACTAAAACATTTCCCGCACTCTGAACAGGAGAAAGGATGCTCACCCTTGTGGATTCCCTGGTGTATAACAAGCTGACTTTTCTGAGTGAAAGATTTCCCGCACTCTGCACATGAAAAAAGGCCCTCACCCGTGTGACTTTTCTGGTGATTAAGAAAGTTTCTTTTCTGACTGAAACATTTCCCGCACTCTGAACATGAGAAAGGATGCACACCCTTGTGGATTCCCTGGTGTATAACAAGTTGACTTTTCTGAGTAAAAGATTTCCCGCACTCAGCACATGAAAATGGACGTTCACCCGTGTGACTTCTCTGGTGACTAAGAAAGCTTCCTTTATGAGATTCTGAAACATTTCCCACACTCTGAACATGAGAAACGATGCTCACCTTTGTGAATTCCCTGGTGTATAACAAGTTGACTTTTCTGAATGAAAGATTTCCCGCACTCTAAACATGAATAAGGGCGCTCATCTGTGTGTTTTCTTTGGTGAACAACAAAATTACTTTTCTGAATGAAACCTTTCCCGCACTCTAAACATTTATAAGGACGCTCACCTGTGTGAGTTCTCTGGTGACTAAGAAAATGTCCTTTCTCAGTGAAGCTTTTCCCACACTCTGAACATTTATAAGGACGCTCACCTGTGTGCTTTCTCTGGTGAACAGCGAGATTACTTTTCTGAATGAAACCTTTCCCGCACTCTGAACATTTAAAAGGACGTTCACCTGTGTGAGTTCTCTGGTGAATAATAAAATGTCCTTTCTGAGTGAAGCTTTTACCGCACTCTGAACATGAGAAAGGACGCTCACCGGTGTGATATCGCTGGTGAGTAACAAGTTGTACTTTCCGAGTAAAACATTTCCTGCACTCTGAACATGAATATGGGCGCTCACCTGTGTGAATCCTCAGGTGCTTAACAAGGTTTCCTTTTTCACTGAAACATTTATCGCACTCTGAACATAAGAAAGGACGCTCGCCTGTGTGAAATTTCTGGTGGTTAAGAAAGTTTTCTTTCCGATCGAAACATTTCCTGCACTCTGAACAAGAGAAAGGATGCTCACTCTTGAGACTTCTCTGATCTATAAGAGGCTTTCCGGTTTCTTTGAAAGATTTCCCAGACATCGTACATGACCAGGAATGTTCTCCTGTGTGATCTTCTTCATGGTTTAAAGACGATCCCTTGAGATGAGATGGATCTGTTGGTGTAACTGGACGGGGAGATCCCAGATTTGTGTCATCAGTAATAGTTTGTGGGTTATGGGAAGATCCCTCAGGATCAGAGGAATCCATTGGTCTCTGCGAGTGATGAGGTCTCTGGTGTATTATTTGTGTATCGGGATTTCTCCTGGAGGACATTGTGTGGTGGCATCTTCATCTGCTTTATATTCTGAAGATCCGTTATTCCAGACATAGAGTCCACCTGTTGGAAATCAACGTTTCCATGTTAGAGGAATTCTTCCTTCAGAAGTCATATACAGGATGTTGGTCTAACGCTCTACAGTATCTCAGAGCTCCGGCATGGAATTGGGGCAATCAGAACAGAGAATATGAATACAAACCAGCAAAGGATACAAAGATGGACCTTTCATATGGTGTCCAGTATCTCCTCCTCATTTGTTGGGAACATGAGCTTATATTGAAGAATGGAGATGGACCTTTCATATGGTGTCCAGTATCTCCTCCTCATTTGTTGGGAACATGACGTTATATTGAGGAATGGAGATGGACCTTCCATATGGTGTCCAGTATCTCCTCCTCATTTGTTGGGAACGTGACGTTATATTGAGGAATGGAGATGGACCTTTCATATGGTGTCCAGTATCTCCTCCTCATTTGTTGGAACATGAGCTTATATTGAAGAATGGAGATGGACCTTTCATATGGTGTCCAGGTTCTCCTCCTCATTTGTTGGAAACATGACGTTATATTGAGGAATGGAGATGGACCTTCCATATGGTGTCCAGTATCTCCTCCTCATTTGTTGGGAACGTGACGTTATATTGAGGAATGGAGATGGACCTTTCATATGGTGTCCAGGTTCTCCTCCTCATTTGTTGGAAACATGACGTTATATTGAGGAATGGAGATGGACCTTCCATATGGTGTCCAGTATCTCCCTCTCATTTGTTGGGAAGGTGACATTATATTGAGGAATGGAGATGGACCTTTCATATGGTGTCCAGTATCTCCTCATTTGTTGGGAACATGACGTTATATTGAGGAATGGAGATGGACCTTTCATATGGTGTCCAGTATCTCCTCCTCATTTGTTGGGAACATGACGTTATATTGAGGAATGGAGATGGACCTTTCATATGGTGTCCAGTATCTCCTCCTCATTTGTTGGGAACATGACGTTATATAGAGGAATGGAGATGGACCTTTCATATGGTGTCCAGTATCTCCTCCTCATTTGTTGGGTACGTGACGTTATATTGAGGAATGGAGATGGACCTTTCATATGGTGTCCAGTATCTCCTCCTCATTTGTTGGGAACATGATGTTATATTGAGGAATGCAGGTGGAACATTCTCATGGTTTATACTATCTCAACCTTCTAACTATTTAAATACATTCTTTACAACCATAAAAGTAACATTAAATTGTGATTTTCTTTCTGCATTTAATGTTTAGGACTTACTTGTGTCGATGAGTTGAGAAGATTCCTCCAGTTTACTTTCCAAAATCATCTCCCCCTCCTCCATAGATGGTTGATCTCCACTCACCAACATCTCTTCTTCCACTTTATCCTCAGCTTTGATGTCTTTCAGTTCTTCAACCTAAACCCCAAAGATGACAGAATAGATTTGTGAAAGAAAAGAGATGTCATATTATAAAGTTTGAAATTTATTTAGAGTTCCAGTTGGTTAGTTCCACCTACCTGATGATGAGGAGTGATGCTTTGATCTTTCTGTGTGGAATCCCGGAAATACAGAGGACCACCCTCCTCCATAGATTGCTGATCCCCAAGCTTCTCTTCATTTTCAACTTTAACCTCAACTTTGATGTCTTTCAGTTCTTCACCCTAAACCCAAAAAATGAGAAAACTTATTTGTAAAAGGAAACAAAAGATGAGATAGAAGAATATTATCTCAAAAGCATAGAATTCTACAACGTATTTGAGTTCTATTTGCTCAGTCCCATCTACCTGATCATGGTGTGCAAAGTTATGATCTTCCTGTTCGGAATCCCGGGAATACAAAGGACGGGGACATCTCTCTGGTGGGTTTCCATGACTGGATCCATCTGTAGGAAACACACACACTGACTGAATCCATTGTTTCTATGTATTTATCAGATGATGGGGGATCTAGGTGGACCCTCCGTACTGCTCTCTCCTTTCCAATAAAGTCTCCTCTTACCCGGTGATGTGAGGGGCGGCTGATTGTCCATCATGACGTCCTTGTAGAGGTCCTTGTGTCCTTCTAAATACTCCAACTCCTCCATGGAGAAATAGACAGTGACACCCTGACACCTTATAGGAACCTGACACAGACAATGATACAGTCACCATCCAGACACATCCCTTGTCTGTTACTGGAGAATGTCCCAGAATTCCCGGCACCGCTCACCTCTCCTGTCAGCAAATCAATGATCTTCTGGGTGACTTCTAGAATCTTCTTGGCACTGGTTCCCTCTGTTGTCAGGCAGTGAGGTGGAGGCACTGTGATGGGTGATGTCCTGTGAAAACGGCTAATGGGTGTTGAGGGCTCAACAATTTATTCACTACTTTGTAATTCTGTGTGACTAGAAAAAGTAAATTGGGAATCAGAACCTCCTTCCTCCTGCTACTGACCCCTCTAATGATACATCCTAGAATGATATTTACTTTTCCAACTGCTTGGGTACACTGATTGCTCATCTTGCAACCAAATGAAACAAACACCCCTAAATTTAGGACGTATCCGGTCTATAAACCAGAGGCTCTGGATGGACGGTTGGATAAATGGCTCTATATTTAGGATGTATCCGGTCTATAAACCAGAGGCTCCGGCTGGACGGTTGGATAAATGGTTCTATTTTTAGGACGTATCTGGTCTACAAACCAGAGGCTCTGGATGGACGGTTGGATAAATGGTTCTATATTTAGGATGTATCCGGTCTACAAACCAGAGGCTCTGGATGGACGGTTGGATAAATGGTTCTATATATTTAGAAGGTATCCGGTCTAAAAACAGAGGCTCTGGATGGACGGTTGGATAAATGGTTCTATATTTAGGACGTATCCGGTCTATAAAACCAGAGGCTCTGGATGGACGGTTGGATAAATGGTTCTATATTTAGGACGTATCCGGTCTATAAACCAGAGGCTCTGGATGGACGGTTGGATAAATGGTTCTATATTTAGGACGTATCGGTCTATAAACCAGAGGCTCTGGATGGACGGTTGGATAAATGGTTCTATATTTAGGACGTATCTGGTCTATAAACCAGAGGCTCTGGATGGACGGTTGGATAAATGGTTCTATATTTAGGACGTATCTGGTCTATAAACCAGAGGCTCTGGATGGACGGTGGATAAATGGTTCTATATTTAGGATGTATTCGGTCTATAAACCAAAGTAACATATTACCTCATCGGCCTCAAAATCCGGTAATGTCTCCTCGAAAATTCTTACTAAATAACCTTTTATCGGGAACTTCCTACCTTCGCCCTACATCACTTCCTGTCTATAGATGACATCAATTCCTTCTTTGCTTTCCATGCTCCTAAGTCTGATCACCATCTTGTGGAGAGTGTATGTACTGTAGCTTAGTTTTTTATTTTTTCTGTACATCAAAAATTGGATCACAGTCTTTATGATGCATATATTTATTAATATATAAAATATTTGACTTTTTCTGTAATATCCCAATGGAAACATATATACTATATATTGTATAAGTGTTGTAGACGGAGAAAACCATCAAGCGACGGCTATACTAAGAAGGTGCGCCTGTGATGGATATGGTACATCTTCCTCCATGGAAAACGTGAGCATAGAGACACATCTCAAGGTGGTCATCAACATCCCTCAAAGGGAAGATATTTTGTACCAGACAGTTGTTTCCAGGTGTGGCTTGTCTATAGAAGCTCAAACCATGAAGGTTGAGGAGCAGAATTGCAATGATCAGCCATGGAGCAGACACGAAACACATCAAGCTTTCTTCTCTTCCAAACCAGATGTCTAGCACCACTATGAGCTCAGAACTGGAAGGAACCACTAGGAACTATCACCTTTACAGAAATGGTCTTCATGGAAGAGCTGCAATTAAAAAAAATAGTTGCACCAAGGAAATAGAAAAGCTAAATGGCTCAGCAACACACAAAAAGACATCTTTGGGATGTAGAAAATGGCGGTAGATGCTCTGGACTGATGTATAAATTGGAATATCGCATTGTATAATAGAACATTGTAAAGGACTTGCTTTAAAATGAAGCCCTCTTCCATCTTCTTTCGGGACTTCCTACTGGGTTTGTGGGAAGGGTAAGGGGACATTCTTCCCACTGATCGCCAATCTAAGGGACATTCTTCCCACTGACCACCAATGTAAGGGGACATTCTTCTCACTCACCACCAATGTAAGGGACATTCTCCCGCTGATCACCAATCCCGACATGATCACCAATGTAAGGAGACATTCTTCCCACTGATCGCCAATGTAAGGAGACATTCTTCCCACTGACCCCCAATGTAAGGGACATTCTTCCCCTGACCACCAATGTAAGGGACATTCTTCTCGCTGACCACCAATGTAAGGGACATTCTTCTTCCCGCTGACCACCAATGTAAGGGACATTCTTCCCTCACCAATGTAAGGGACATTCTTCTCGGTGATCATCACCAATGTAAGGGACATTCTTCCCACTGACCACCAATGTAAGGGACATTCTTCTCGCTGACCCCCAATAAGGGTAAGGGTCAGGGACATTCTTTCTGATCACCAATGTAAGGAACTCCCACTGACCCCCCAATGTAAGGGACATTCTTCCCGCTGACCCCCAATGTAAGGGTCATTCTTCTCGCTGACCCCCAATGTAAGGGACATTCTTCTCGCTGACCACTGATTCTTCCCCCAATGTAAGGGACATTCTTCTCGCTGATCAATGTAAGGAACATTCTTCCCACTGACCCCCAATGTAAGGGACATTCTTCCCACTGACCCCCAATGTAAGTGTCATTCTTCCCACTGACCCCCAATGTAAGGGACATTCTTCCCACTGACCCCCAATGTAAGGGACATTCTTCCCACTGATCACCAATGTAAGGAAAATTCTTCCCACTGACCCCCAATGTAAGGGAAATTCTTCCCACCACCAATGTAAGGGAAATTCTTCCCACACCCCCAATGTAAGGGAAATTCCCACTTTCCCACTGACCCCAATGTAAGGGACCCCCAATGTAAAATTCTTCCACTGACCCCCAATGTAAGGGACATTCTTTCCACTGACCCCCAATGTAAGGGACATTCTTCCCACTGACCCCCAATGTAAGGGACATTCTTCCCACTGACCCCAATGTAAGGGACATTCTTCCCACTGACCCCAATGTAAGGGACAATGACCCCCAATGTAAGGGACATTCTTCCCACTGACCCCCAATGTAAGGGACATTTTTCCCACTGACCCCCAATGTAAGGGACATTCTTCCCACTGACCCCAATGTAAGGGACATTCTTCCCACTGACCCCCAATGTAAGGGACATCTTCCCACTGACCCCAAAAATGTAAGGGACATTCTTTCCACTGACCCCCAATGTAAGGGAAATTCTTCCCACTGACCCCCAATGTAAGGGACATTCTTCCCACTGACCCCAATGTAAGGGACATTTTCCCACTGACCCCCAATGTAAGGGACATTCTTCCCACTGACCCCCATTAAGGGACATTTTTTCCCACTGACCCCCAATGTAAGGGACATTCTTCCCACTGACCCCCAATGTAAGGGACATTCTTCCTACTGACCAAAAATATAAGGGACATTCTTCCCACTAATCACCAATGTAAGGGACATTCTTTTTTGGTCTAAAAATTTAATTTTCGGTGTATTGTAACACTGAGAGACAGAATAGCAACAACAAATTCAGCAGAAATGCATGTCTAACAAATGATGACTGATCTGCATGTTCATGAGGGAAATAAGGATTTGATCCCCCATCATTCAGCAGGATTTCTGGCTACCAGGTGTCTTTCATACAGGTAACAAGCTGAGATTAGTCTCTTAAAGGGAGTGCTGCTAATCTCATTGTGTTATCTGTATAAAAGACACCTGTCCACAGGAGCAATCAAACAATCAGATTCCAAACTCTCCACCATGGCAAAGACCAAAGAGCTGTCCAAGGATGTCAGGAACAAGATTGTAGACCTGCACAAGGCTGGACTGGGCAACCAAACTATGGCCAAGCAGCTTGGTGAGAAGGTGACAACAGTTGGTGCAATCATTCACAAATGGAAGAAACACAAAACAACTGTCAGTCTCCCTAGGTCTGGTGCACCATGCAAGATCTCACCTCGTGGAGTGTCAATGATCATGAGAACAGTGAGGAATCATCCCAGAACTACACATGAGAATCTTGTCAATGATCTCCAGGCAGCTGGGACCACAGTCACCAAGAAAACAATTGGTAACACACTACGCCAACAAGGACTGAAATCCTGCAGTGCCCGCAAGGTCCCTCTGCTCAAGAAAGCACATGTCCAGGTCCGTCTGAAGTTTGCCACTGAACATCTGAATGATGCAGAGGAGGACTGGTGGAAAGTGTTGTGCTCAGATGAGACCAAAATCCAGCTCTTTGGCATCAACTCAACTCGCCGTGTTTGGAGGAGGAGGAATGCTGCCTATGACCCCAAGAACTCCATCCCAACTGTGAAACATTGTGGTGGAAACATTCTGCTTTGGGGGTGTTTTTCTGCTATGGGGGCAGGACAATTGCACCGCATGAAAGGGACGATGGACGGGGCAATGTACCATCAAATCTTGGGTGAGAACCTTCTTCCCTCAGCCAGGGCATTGAAAATGGGTCATGGATGGGTGTTCCAGCATGACAATGACCCAAAACACATGGCCAAGGCAACAAAGGAGCGGCTCAAGAAGAAGCACATTAAGGTCCTGGAGTGGCCTAGCCAGTCTCCAGACCTTCATCTGATTGAAAATCTGTTGAGGGAGCTGAAAGTTCGAGTTGCCAAACGTCAGCCACCAAACCTTAATGACTTGGAGAGGATCTGCCAAGAGGAGTGAGCCAAAATCCCTCCTCCTGAGATGTGTGCGAACCTGGGGGCCAATTCCAGAAAAACGTCTGACCTCTGTGATTGCCAACAAGGGATTTGCCACCAAGTACTAAGTCATGTTTTGTGAAGGGGATCAGATCCTTATTTCCCTCATGAACATGCAGATCAGTCATCATTTGTTAGACATGCATTTCTGCTGAATTTGTTGTTGCTATTCTGTCTCTCAGTGTTACAATACACCGAACATTCGATTTTTAGACCGATCATTTCTTTGTGAGTGGGCGAACATTCAACATCAGCAGGGGAACAAATACGCATTTCCTTCACTGTAGAAAGGCACATCTTCCATATATATGTGGCTCATCTCTACTTAGTGCCAAAGTAAGAGTCTCCCTCCTCTAATGGGGGAATATACCGGTGGTTAGTAAAAGGAGCGCGCCCGTCCATTCCAGACCTTTTGTGTGCTCAGAAACGCGTCGCGCGTCGGAGGTGACGTCATGACGATGGAACGCAAGCGGACACCATGGAGCTATAGAGCTGCCGGCCAGACTTCCTCGCCTTACGCCTGCTACCCTACCAGGTCCTTCTCAGCGTTCACTCATGGAGATACGGCGGTCACGTTACCATTGACGACTATGTGACTTGCCTGATTTTAGCTCCAGTCTACACTTAGAGGCACCCTTTTCTCACTTTTTGTATCACCGATGAAGACCCAAAGGAGGATCATCAAGATGGCAGCCATGGGAATCTTCTGTTGGTGGGAAGCCAACACACGTATGGAACTGGACCTTCCGCACCCTTCCTGTCGATCAGTGGATTCCAGTACATTCCGATTACCGATCGTGTAAAAATGATGTTCATTTGGAAAAAAAAAACAGAATCTTGAAACGCGTAGAGCATTTATTTGTTTATTATTATTATTTTTTTAAATTTTTTATTTTATTTTATTTATTTTTTTTATTTTGGTTTTTTTTTTACAAAAATCAGAATACGTGATTAAAAGTAACTAAAAGAAAAATCAAATTTAATAATAAATTACACATGGGCTGGTCCAATGAACAGCCAGTTTTTCAGTGAAACAAAACAAAAAAAACCCAACAACATATATCAGCACAGTTCAATTCCATGAGGTCCGTGTGAGTGCGGAACAGAGTCAGCGCCGTACGTTTAGAGGACCGTATGACTGCCTTACTTCCTATGGATCTATAAATATCAAATCACACTGAAAAAAATTTCACTTTTTTTCACCGCTCTCAAATATGCAGATTTCAACATGGAAAAATAAAATTGAATTTGTGGATGCAAAACATTTTACACACTCTAAACATAAATCCATGTTGTCCTCCGGTGGTTATTTCCCCCCAACGCTCCCCCCTATCTGAACATAAAAGTTGTTAAGCCACATGAACTCTCTGGTGTCCAGTCAGCGAACGTTTTTGAGCGAAACATTTCCCGCACACCGAACATGAATAAGGACGCTCCCCCGTGTGAGTTCTCTGGTGTCCAGTGAGCAAGCGTTTCTCGGAAGGATTATTTTAATTTATTTTATTATTATTATTTTTTTTTTTTATTATTTTATTATATTTTTAATGTCTTTTTTTTTTTTATTTTATAATTAAATTTTATTTATTAATTCTTTAACTAATTTATTTTTTATTTATATTAAATTAATTTATTAATTTTTTCCTTATAAATTTTTTATTTATATTTAATTATTCTTTTTATTTTTTATTAATATATATTTAAAAATTTTATATTTTTTTTATTTTATATTTTATTATATGTTTTTTTATTTTATAATTTGTTTTTATTTTATAAATTTATTGAAGTTTTTATTTTATTTTATTATAAATATTTTTATATAAATAATTATTTAAATTTTATTTAATCTTTTTTTATTATTTTAATTTTCATTATTATTATATATTTATATATATATTTGGATTTTCCCGCACTCTGAACAGGAATGAGGGTGCTCACCCGTGTGAATTCTCTGGTGCGTAGCAAGTAAATCTTTCCGGGAGAAACCTTTCCCGCACTCTGAACATGAATAAAGGCGCTCACCGGAGTGAATTTGCTGGTGAATAACGAGTTCTCCTTTCTGGTTGAAAGATTTCCCGCACTCTGAACATGGAAAGGGACGTTCGCCTGTGTGGATTCTCTGGTGTATAAGAAGGTATCCTTTTTCATTGAAACATTTCCCGCACTCTGCACATGAGAAAGGACGCTCGCCCGTGTGGATTCTCTGGTGTACAACAAGTTTATCTTTCCGGGTGAAACATTTCCCGCACTCTGAACATGAAAATGGACGCTCACCCGTGTGAGTTCTCTGGTGTAAGAAAAGTCTGTGTTTTATAGAGAAAGATTTCCCACACTCTAAACATGAATAAGGACGCTCACCTGTGTGAATTCGCTGGTGGTTAAGAAGATCTCCTTTCTGGATGAAACATCTCCCGCACTCTGAACATGAAAAGGGTCGTTCACCCGTGTGAGTTCTCTGGTGTAAAAGAAGTTTTCCTTTCTGAATGTAACTTTTCCCGCACTCTGAACATGAATAGGGTCGCTCACCAGTGTGAATTCGCTGGTGAACAAGAAGTTCACCTTTTGTAGTGAAAGATTTCCCGCACTCTGAACATGAAAAGGGATGTTTACCTGTGTGAATTCTCTGGTGTTTAAGAAGATGTCCTTTTTCTTTAAAACATTTCCCGCACTCTGAACATGAGTAAGGACGTTCACCTGTGTGACATCTCTGATGATTAAGAAGGTTTCCTTTATGACTAAAACATTTCCCACACTCTACACATGAAAAAGGACGCTCACCTGTGTGACTTCTCTGGTGACTAAGAAAGCTTCCTTTATCACTGAAACATTTCCCGCACTCTGAACACGAGAAAGGATGATCACGCTTGTGAATTCCCTGGTGTATGACAAGTTGACTTTTCTGAGTGAAAGATTTTCCGCACTCTACACATGAAAAAGGGGTCGCTCACCTGTGTGACTTCTCTGGTGATTAAGAAAGTTTCCTTTCTGACGGAAACATTTCCCGCACTCTGAACACGCGAAAGGACGCTCACCCTTGTGGATTCCCTGGTGTATAACAAGTTGCCTTTTTTGAATGAAAGATTTCCCGCACTCTACACATGAATAAGGTCGCTCACCTGTGTGATTTCTCTGGTGAACAACAAGACTACTTTTCTGAATGAAACCTTTCCCACACTCTAAACATTTATAAGGACGCTCACCTGTGTGAGTTCTATGGTGATTAAGAAAGTTTCCTTTCTGAATGAAGCTTTTACCGCACTCTAAACACGAGAAAGGGTGCTCACCGGTGTGAATTCTCTGGTGATTAACAAGTTCTACTTTCTGAATAAAACATTTCCCGCACTCTGAACACGAATAGGGGCGCTCACCTGTGTGGATTTTCAGGTGGTTTAGAAGGGTTGCTTTGTCAGCAAAACATTTCCCACAGTCTGAACATAAGAAAGGACGCTCACCCGTGTGAAATCTCTGGTGATTAAGAAAGGTTTCTTTCCGATCGAAGAATTTCCTGCACTCTGAACATGAGAAAGGATGCTCACCCTTGAAACATTTTTGGCCTGTAGGAGGCTCTCCGGTTTCTATGAAAGAATTCTCAGACGTCGTACATGACCAGGAATGCTCTCCTGTGTGATCTCCTTCATGGCTTACAGAAGATCCCTTGAGATGAGATGGATCTGTTGTTGTATCTGGATGGTGAGATCCCAGATTGGTGTCAGCAGTAATAGTATGTGGATTATGGGAAGATCCCTCAGGATCACAGGAATCCATTGGTCTCTCCGAGTGATGAGGTCTCTGGTGTATCATTTGTGTATCGGGATTTTCTCCTGGAGGACATTGTGTGGTGGCATCTTCATCTGCTTTATATTCTGAAGATCCGTTATTCCAGACATAGAGTCCACCTGTTGGAACAACGTTTCCATGTTAGAGGAATTCTTCCTTCAGAAGTCATATACAGGATGTTGGTCTAACGCTCTACAGTATCTCAGAGCTCCGGCATGGAATTGGGGCCATCAGAACAGAAAATATGAATACAAACCAGACAAAGGATACAAAGATGGACCTTCATATGGTGTCCAGTATCTCCTCCTCATTTGTTGGGAACATGACGTTATATTGAGGAATGGAGATGGACCTTTCATATGGTGTCCAGTATCTCCTCCTCATTTGTTGGGAACGTTTCATTATTTTGAGGATCTCAGATGGACCTCTTTCATAGTTTACATTATTGGAAACTTTTAATTATTTAAATAGACACTTTATAGTCATAGTTTTACATGAAAATGTGAACGGTTTCTGCATTTTGTGTTTATGACCTACTTGTGTCCATATGTAGAGAAGATTCCTCCTGTACACTTTTCGTAATCATCTCCCCCTCCTCCATAAACTGCTGATCTCCTCTCACCAAAGTCTCATCTTCTTTATCTTCAACTTTGATGTCTTTTAGTTCTTCACCCTAAACCCCAAAGAGGATAAAATAGAATATTAGTAAAACTAATTGCAATAATAATAGAATATCATATCATAGTTTAGAATAACTTTGAAAGTTCTATAGTTCTGCCTGAACATGGTGAGGGATGCTGTGATTTTCCTGTGTAGAATCCCAGGGATAAAAAGAACTACCCTCCATAGACAGCTGATGTCTACTAACAAACTTCTGCTCTTACACTTTAAATTCAACTTTCACTCACTCCCCAAAAAATATATTTGCAAAAAAAAAAAAACCAAGTGAATTCATAGAAGAATGTCCTCTTATAGCTTAGAATTCTTTTTTAGGTTCTTGTTGCTCAGTCCCACCTACCTGATGATGGTGAGGGATGGTGTGACCTTCCTGTGTGGAATCCCAGGAATACAGAGGACGGGGACATCTCTCTGGAGGGTTCCCATTACTGGATCCATCTACCTGATGATGGTGGGGGATGGTGTGATCTTCCTGTGTGGAATCCCGGGAATACAGAGGACGGGGACATCTCTCTGGTGGGTTCCCATGACTGGATCCATCTGTAGGAAACACACACACTGACTGAATCCATTGTTTCTATTTGTTTATCAGATGATGGGGGATCTAGGTGGACCCTCCGTACTGCTCTCTCCTTTCCAATAAAGTCTCCTCTTACCCGGTGATGTGAGGGGCGGCTGATTGTCCATCATGACGTCCTTGTAGAGGTCCTTGTGTCCTTCTAAATACTCCCACTCCTCCATGGAGAAATAGACAGTGACATCCCGACACCTTATAGGAACCTGACACACACAATGATACAGTCACCATCCAGACACATCCCTTGTCTGTTACTGGAGAATGTCCCAGAATTCCCAGCACCGCTCACCTCTCCTGTCAGCAGATCAATGATCTTCTGGGTGACTTCCAGAATCTTCTTGGCACTGGTTCCCTCTGTTGTCAGGCAGTGAGATGGAGGCCCTGTGATGGGTGATGTCCTGTGAAGACGACTGCTGGTTGGTCATGGATCTCCAGATATTTTACTCACTATAGTACAGTTGGATAAATGGCTCTATATTTAGGATGTATCCGGTCTATAAACCATAATGGACATCACGGTGACTATGGAGGAAGAGGATGGACATGACGATGGAGGAAGAGGACGGACATGACGGGGGGAGGGTTGCTGGGTGTAAACAGAAGTAATATCTTATTACCCCCACAGCTGTTGGTTGCAGGAATATCTGCCTCTACGTCACCTGACCTTTCATCCCACCCGGAACTTCCTGTCTGTAGATGACATCACTTCCTGTCCGTACCCTGCTATCACTTGCGAAGAAAATACAAACTGTAGCCAGTGTTTTTAAGTACTTTGACAGCTGCTTTGTATAAAACCAGTTGGACAGCTGAGGGTGGGAGGCCATTTTTAAAACAGCTTCCTCTTTGTTTTGCTTATGTGCGCCTCTAGAACGTGCCACACTGAGACACAGCACATCACAGAGCAGGTACATGGCTACTGAAATTGTACCTGTACAATGTGGTCACTGTGATTAGTCACAGTGATTCCAAATGCAAACTAAAGATGCATGTTCGATCTACAGCTTTGTTTCCTGGTGCCGTATTCTTGCTCACTAAGCACACCAGTCTCAGTGTCACTAGACCAGTGTAAGCCACCAACAGTGTTCCTGATCACCACTATACCAGTCCCAGTGTCACCAGACCAGTTATTAATCCTCAGGTATTAATTCCTTTATTAATCCCTCCTGGCCATAGGAAGAGCTTCCTCAAATTAGTATTCGACTCCTGTGTGCCAAAGGCCCCTAGCTGTAATTAACTTGCCCCTCCACAAAAGGTCCCAAATTCAATTAGTGTATACAGCCCTAATTAGTGCCTTACTTTTTTATTAATGTATTTCCCCCCACTAATTATCCTGTCCAACCAGTCTTTTCTGTTTACAGTAATTAAATTACTGTAGTACCATTCTCTTCATTGTCACCTGCTAATGACCCCCCTCCGCCTCTCTTCCTGCTCAGGGGGTTTAAGAGGCCAGTGCTGGTCTCTCTTGGTGTGCCATTCTGCTGGGCAACCACTGAGAGGTCCAGCTGGACTCTTGTGGCCCCATGGCTCTGCCTGAGCTACATTGGAGGAAGGGGGATCCCAGAGTCTACATCAGCCCTGCCTGGAACGCTGTCAGCTCTGCCTGAGACTATCGCATCAGCTTTGCGTGAGTGTATGCTCCCCTTGTGCTATCTGACTGCTCATGAACATTTTGGACTCTATCTCCCTGCACTACTCCCCATTGAGTGACTATTGTCTGTTTTAATAAATCTTTAAGTGTTTGCCGCCTGCCTTGTGTGTTCTGTCCCGCTTACCCTCCGTTACACCAGTCCAGTGTCACCAGACCAATGTAAGCCACCAACAGTGTTCCTGATGACCACCATACCAGTCCCAGTGTCACCAGACCAGTGTAAGCCACCAACAGTGTTCCTGATGACCACCATACCAGTCCCAGTGTTACCAGACCAGTGTAAGCCACCAACAGTGTTCCTGTCCATCACCACCATGTAAGCCACCCAGTCCCAGTCCAGTGTCACCAGACCAATGTAAGCCACCAACAGTGTTCCTGATGACCACCATACCAGTCCCAGTGTCACCAGACCAATGTAAGCCACCAACAGTGTTCCTGATGACCACCATACCAGTCCCAGTGTCACCAGACCAGTGTAAGCCACCAACAGTGTTCCTGATGACCACCATACCAGTCCAGTGTCACCAGACCAGTTGTAATGACTTTTGGGACTGTTTATTAAGAAAAATGATATTATCCCAAATAGGGGATTCTAAACTGACTGTCATGGGTTAACATCCTCAGTTAATTTCAAGTGACCTTTCAAAAAAGTTATCCTAAACAATGAGTGGAAGAAACTGGTCTAAGAGACAATGAGAGTCAAACACCACTATTTGGATGTCTGCAGGTGAGCATATAGGAGGTCTAAAAGTGACAATGGTGAGAGGAAATCCTCATTGTCTTATCTCTCCCAAAACTTTGGGAAGTGTGTGATGACCAAACAAACTTCTTGAAATGTCACAATAGCTATTGAATACTGAGGTTTAACTCCAGTCCAGTCTGTTTACCCTAATTACCAAACCATGGATGAAATTTCCTATGTCACATCTCCTTGAACTGTATATGCAGCACAAGGTAAAACCTGTGTCATTGAAAATATAAAGTTTGATACATACCAATGGAGACATTATCAAAAAGCATATTACCAACACCTTTTTATTAAGGGAAATCTATTCGATAAGGTTGGGTATTGCATCCCACTCAACTAAAGTTGAAGTGATGAAAGATAAGGTAGTTTATAAATAAGGTAAATGTCTATATTTCCAAAAGAAATCAGCCATTCCAATTTAGTTTAGGTATCAGAAAAATGAGAAACCAAACGTATTCACACCTTTCTATGGTCCTTATCCAAGAGTTAGTAGTGAAATCAACTATATATAAGTAAAGAACCAGCACCATGGAAATTGTATAAGACAACAGTAAGCTGCAAAACCTAGCCTATAAATTTATAGGATATACAAAACTTCAAAAAAAGTTCAGCTCCGTGAGGACGTCGAAAAGCTTAGGGCGGTGCCTTTGGATGTGATGTTCAGAACACTCCTGGTCTGCTTGCATGTTGTATGTGCATGTTTAGCTGTGTCTGAGTCGCTTGTATTCATTACACACACTGTCTTTACTGGTGTCAGTCTGGACACCTTGCTTGTAAGTGCATTTCTTCATTAAAGTTTGATGCTTTTTAAAACATACTGCACCATGATTGTTCACTTTTTTTTTTCGAGTGACGGTCTGATCATCTCTCAGTTTGGATACTAAATCACCTTTGGAGTGGATTTTCAGCTTTGCAGCACATCATCTGTTGGAGTTCATCCCTCATTTCTTCAGTGTTGCTGTCACCATATTATTTATTGCTCCCAGAGTAACAACTAATATATGCTGGTTTTTCAACATTCAACATATTACTCTGGTGAGTTCTATTTAACCATTTTTTTGGTGGTGGATTCACTTGGTAATTAATTATTTTGGACATTATTGATTTTAACTTTTTGGACTTTCATTTTTGCTGGATTTTATTTTCATTTAAAATATTGTTTCTTATTGTTTTGTTACATTTTTTGTTACACTTTTGTATGTATTTAAGAGCAACCTATTTTTTTGAAGTGAAATCAACTATACTTGAATAGGACATATATTTTATACATCAAGACATATGGTTTCTATCAAAGGATGAATCATCATTAAGACCACCAATTCATCTGTAATAGTTGACTGTCTCCAGTGGATAAATCAGGAACATCTCTAGGTAAGCAAAATGTACCCTCCGTTACACCAGTCCAGTGTCACCAGACCAATGTAAGCCAAACAGTGTTCCTGATGACCACCATACCAGTCCCAGTGTCGCCAGATCAATGTAAGCCACCAACAGTGTTCCTGATGACCACCATACCAGTCCCAGTGTCGCCAGACCAATGTAAGCCACCAACAGTGTTCCTGATCACCGCCACACTGGTCCCAGTGTCACCAGACTAGTGTAAGCTACCAACAGCGTTCCTGATCACCGCCATACCAGTTCCAAGTGTCACCAGACAAGTGTAAGCCACCAACAGTGTTCCTGATCACCGCCATACCAGCCCCAGTGTCACCAGACCAGTGTAAGCCACCAACAGTGCTCCTGATCACAGTCCCTGTGTTACCAGACCAGTGTAAGCCACCAAAAGTGTTCCTGATCACTACCATACCAGTCCCAGTGTCACCAGACTAGTGCAACCAGCAACAATGTTCCTGATCACTAGCCAACCTATTGCCAATGTCGCCCAAGCCAGTGCAACCAGCAACGGTGTTCGGCAACAACACCAATGCAAGGGCCACCAGGACCAGTGCAGCCAGCAGCAGTGTTCCTGATTGCCGCCACACCAGTGCAAGGTCACCTCTGCCTGTTTGGCCTGTTTATCGACCACGTTTCTGCCTGCCACTCGGACATAACATTTGCTTGTTTGCTGACCATGTTTCCACCTGTTGCATAAAGCCTGAAGGCGCTCCTTGGATTTTGGGCCTCTTTTTGCAGCTAGGCTTCCAAAAAAGTCTCGCACATACAAAGTAGACCCATACTCGGGCCAAGTAGAAAAATGTGTTTTGGGATGTAATTCTGCTGTGTGTAAGAAATATCTTATTAATGGACAACTTTTTTTTTTTTAACTAAAATACATTTTAATTTTCTTGCTGTGTTTTCTATAAACTTCTGGTGAAAAATATGATCTTCGAAGAACTTACCATGCCTCCAATTAAATACACTGGAGGGTCTACTTTGCAAAATGTGATTATTTTGCAAGTGGAACTTTGGGGGCCTGAATAAATGTCATAGGCATTCAGGAATTCAGATGCAAAATTTATGGCCATTGAAAGCCTGAAGGTGCTCCTTGGATTTTGGGCCTCTCTTTGCAGCTAGGCTCCCGAAAAAGTCTTGTGCATACAAAGTAGACCCATACTCGGGCCAAGTAGAAAAATGTGTTTTGGGATGTAATTCTGCTGTGTGTAAGAAACATCTTATTAATGGACAACTTTTTTTTTAAAATAAAATACATTTTAATTTTCTTGCTGTGTTTTCTATAAACTTCTGATGAAAAATATGATCTTCGAAGAACTTACCATACCTCCAATTAAATACACTGGAGGGTCTACTTTGCAAAATGTGATCATTTTGCAAGTGTTTTTTTTACTATCCTGGCACTTCAGGGACCTGAATAAATGTGATAGGTATTCAGGAATTCAGATGCAAAATGTATGGCCCTTGAGAGCCTAAAGACGCTCTTTGGATTGTGGGGCTCTCTCGGCAGTGCAAAAGTTTCACACGTGGTATTTCTATACTCAGGAGGAGTAGAAGAATGTGATTTGGTGTGTATTCGCAAGCGCACCCATGCTGCGTGCGAGAGATAACTTGTTAAAATGACAATTGTGTGAAAGAAAATAAAAATGTTATTTACTTTTGGGGGCTGAATAAATGTGATAGGTATTCAGGAATTCAGATGCAAAATGTATGGTCCTTGAAAGCCTGAAGGCGCTCTTTGGATTGTGGGCCCCTCTCGACAGTGGAAATGTTTAACGAGTGGTATTTCTATACTCAGGAGGTGGTGTATAATCGCAAGCACACCCATGCTGTGTGCAAGAGATAACTTGTTAAAATGACAATTGCGTGAAATAAAATAAAAATGTTATTTCCTTTCGGGGGCCTGAATAAATGTGATAGGTATTCAGAAATTCAGATGCAAAATGTATGGCCCGTGAAAGCCTGAAGTCGCTCTTTGGATTTTGGGCCCCTCTCGGCAGTGGAAAAGGCTCAAGCGTGGTATTTATATACTCAGGAGGTGTAGAAGAATGCGATTTGGTGTGTAATCGCAAGCGCACCCATGCTGAGTGAGAGAGATAACTTGTTAAAATAACAATTGCGTGAAATAAAATAAAAAGGTTATTTACTTTCGGGGGCTGAATAAATGTTATAGGTATTCAGGAATTCAGATGCAAAATGTATGGCCCATGAAAGCCTGAAGGTGCTCTTTGGATTGTGGGCCCCTCTCGGCAGATAAATTGATAAAATGACAATTGCGTGAAATAAAATAAAAATGTTATTTACTTTCTTTATTTTCCAAAATGATTGTGGCAAAAAATGACAACTTCAAAAAAAAAATGTACAACTTCAAAAGAATCCTCATGGCATCTTACACCAATCGTCTAAGAACTATGGTCATTTTGGTAGAAAAAAAAAGGACTCGTGGACAAAATTTTGTAAAGCATACAGTTTTCTTTGTTTATTTTAGAAAACCAGAATAACCGACTAACATACAATAAAACTAAGATCGAATTTAAACCAAATCTTGTATAATTAAAGTAAAAAAAAAAAAAAACGTACATCAAATTTATTATACATTGGCAGGACTAATCAAAACCCAGCTCCTTCAGTAGAGCAATGACGTGCAGCAGCCAAGAGACGCTTCCAATAAAAGGTTCGTTGGTAAAAATACAAATTCTGATTAAATTGGATGTTCCAGCATTTATTTCCGTGGTTTCTTCTGTGGTGTTTCTGTAGTTTTTTTTTTTTGCCTGGGTATTGGTAGGGTTGTCCATGAATTGTATGATACCCTTCTTTGTTGGCCACTTCCTTCTCATGGTTGCCAATGGGCTGCCCCACCCCTCTGCTGCCCATTCACAGAAGCCTTTGTATTTTGTGAATGACTTCACACAATACAAAGGTTCTGTGATTGGGCAGGAAAGGAGAGGAGGGGCAGGCACAGCATCCGCATGTTATCTTGCTGTATTTTAAAGCTGAATTCCAGGAATTCAGCAACCTGGTAAAATGAGTTAAGTCCAACGAGGTGCATGGCACCCCCTGGACTTACCTCTTTCATTCACATCTGACAGGTTTATTGCACTCCCGGAGAATACACTCGGGGCAATGAGAGGAGAGAGAACACATAGCAGCTATACCTGCCCCCTCCCTCTGCTGCCCATTCACAGAAGCCTTTGTATTTGATGAATGAGTTCACACAATACAAAGGCTTCTGTGATTGCGCAGGAGGAGAGGAGGGGCAGGGCACAGCATCCGCATCGAATCTATACTTGAAGGAGGTGAGACCAAAACATCCAGTGCTGGAGCGCTGGAAGTTAACTTCCTGGAGCACAATAAACCTGTCAGATCTAAATTTAAGAGATATGTCCATGAGGTGGCATGCACCTCGGTTTATTGCACTCATGGCAATGAGAGGAGAGAATCGCACATAGCAGCTATGCCCGCCCCACCTCTCTGCTGCCCGTTCACAGAAGCCTTTGTATTTTGTGAATGATCTTGCATAATACAAAGGCTTCGGTGATTGGGCAGTGGGAAGGGAGGGGCAGGCACAGCATCTGCATCGAATTTACACAAGAAGGAGATGAGAACAGAGCGTCAAATACCAGAGCTCCAGAAGTTGTCTTCCTGGGGCACAATAAATCTTGCCACTGCTGCTAGAATGTACCTCGTTAAAAAAATCGATAACGCGTTTTTTCTATGGACTGGACGGTTCCGCTCGTTAAAATGTCACTATACATTTCTCAAAAGAATCATCATCGGGTGTGTGTTCTCTGACGTCTAATTAGATTTCCTTCAGCTGTAAAAGATTTCCTGCACTTTGAAGATAAAATAGGCTCATTTCTCTTGTGTCCCGACAAGGCTTTTCTTCCAAGTGAAATGTTTCCCACATGGAAAAGGGTGTCAGCCTGGGTGAACTCTCTGGTGTACAGGAAGGTTTCCTTTCCAAATAAAACATTTCCCACACTCTGGACACCACCTGTGTGACTTTTCTTATTCTTTTGTAGGAATTGGAAACATTTCCTCTAAACATGAATAGGGACACTCATCGGTGTGTAAGAAGATTCCTTTTCTGAATAAAACAATTCCCACACTCTTGGAAGATGCCTTTTATGAGTAAAACATTTCCCACGCTCTAGGAAGATGCCTTTTATGAGTAAAACATTTCCCACACTCTAGGAAGATGCCTTTTATGAGTAAAACATTTCCCACACTCTGGGTATGAATAAGGATGATCACCCATGTGAACTGGCAGGTGTGTCAGCAGGTCTCCTTTGCAAATATAACATTTTCCACACTCTGAACATGAGAAAGGATGCTCACCCGCGTGACACCTCTGGCTTTCATACAGAAACATTTCCCGCACTCTGACACATGAATACGGACGCTCCGTTGTGTGAATTCTCTAGCATTCAAGAAGGTCTCTATTGTAAATTGAACATTTCCTAATTTCTGAATGTTAATAGGAAGGCTCTCCTGAGTGAATTCTTTGGTGTATCAGAAGTGCTTTTTTCTCAGTGAAACATTTCCCGCACGCCAAACATAAATAGGGACACTCACCTGTGTGACTCCTCTGGTGCCTAAGAAGGCTTCCTTTCTGATTGAAACATCTTCCGCACTCCGGGCACGAATAAGGGCGCTCGCCTGTGTGAATTCTCTGGTGCCTAAGTAGGCTTCCTTTCTGACTGAAACTTTTCCCACACTCTGAACACAAATAGGGGCGCTCCCCTGTGTGAATTCTCTGGTGTCTAAGAAGGTCGCAGTTTTTACTGAAAAATTTCCCACACACCGAACATGACCATGAGCTCTCTCCAGTGTAAACCCCTTCACGGTTCAACAAGATTTCCTTGGGGCCAGATGGATCTGCTGATCTCTCCACACTGTGAGATCTGAGATGTATGGCTGGAGTCACAGTGTGGGATCCATCCGATAGTATCCGAAGATTACAGGGATCGATCGACCTCCGTGTATTGTTACTAAAGGCGTTTCCTCCGGGATGTGCGATGCCATCGGGACCTGGAGAGGAGAAAGGAAGTCGCTCAGAGATATTCCAAAAATCGCCTTCCCTCGCAACGACTCTTCAGCCACTTGCCTGCCGGGAACTGTCACCCCCTTCTTGCCCACCAGGCACTGTCACCCCCCTTCCTGCCCACCAGGCACTGTCACCCCCCTTCTTGCCCACCGGGAACTATCACCCCCTTCCTGCCCACCAGGCACTGTCACCCCCTTCCTTCCCACCAGGCACTGTCACCCCCCTTCTTGCCCACCGGGAACTGTCACCCCCTTCTTGCCCACCGGGAACTGTCACCCCCTTCCCCCAACGGGAACTGTCACCCCCTTCCAACGGGAACTGTCACCCCCTTCCTGCCCACCGGGCAACTGTCCCACCCCTGTCACCCCCTTCCTTCCCACCGGGGCACTGTCACCCCCTTCCTGTCCCACGGGCACTGTCACCCCCTTCCTGCCCCCACCGGGCACTGTCACCCCCTTCCTGCCCACCGGGCACTGTCACCCCCTTCCTGCCCACCGGGCACTGTCACCCCCCCTTCCTGCCCACCGGGCACTGTCACCCCCTTCCTGTCCACCGGGCACTGTCCCCCTTCCTCCTGTCCACCCTTCCTGCCCACCGGGCACTGTCACCCCCCTTCCTGCCAACAACCGGGAAACTGTCACCCCCTTCCTGCCTACCGGGCACTGTCACCCCCTTCCTGCCAATTTTCAGCTTTCAGCACTGTCGCACTTTGAATGACAGTTGCGCTGTCATACAACACTGTACCCATATAAAAGTTTTTGTATTTTTTTCACACAAACAGAGCTTTCTTTTGGTGGTATTTATTCCCCACTGGGGTTTTATTTTCTGCACTATAAACAAAAAAAAGAGCAAAAAAAACGGGATTAGCCTTTTACCGTATCCCGTGATCAGCTTTGTCCGTAGGACACAGTGATCACCGATGGCACCGGGTACACGCCGCTGAGTGTTCTGGAATGTGGTCCATGGACGTTGTCCCAGAACAACCGCACTGTAACCGTATTTCGGTTATCGTCCTTCGGCTATAGCGTTGTAGGGAACAAGTTAAACCTCACGTTCAGAAATCAGAGGTGTTGATTGCTTTTCTTGTGTGAACATTTATCATACAAATGCCAACGGAACAATGTTTTCACATGCTGTCTTTCAAAACAACAAGGGAACAGATAAAATGGTTGTATATCTAGGCACAGTACTCAATTTCAACAACTGCCATTGTTTTAGAGGAGCTCTTGTCAAACACTGAACCCAAAGCTGTGTCAATAGAAATTAACCGCTTCCCGTCCGCCCTATAGGAAAGAAATACTGCTACAGGACGGCACGGGAGTGCAAAATCACGTATATATACGCGAGTTTGCATTTCCACGAAAAAAGGCATGCGCGCGCCCCGCCCGTGCCGCCATTAGTGGCCGTCAATCACCGGGTCCTGGCCGGTGATCACTCGCCAGTGCCCGGTGAGTGCCGAGCCGAGCATCTCCAACAGTACTATGTCAGGCACTATGTCAAAATCCTGTCCTAACAGAGTCCAATTTCTCGAACAAACTTGTTTTGCAGAAGGACGCCTCTGAAGTAGGGCTGTTCTATCATGACTCTATCGTTCTGAGAGTCCTCAAGTTGGAGCACGTATGGCACAACATTGGGACACACCCCTTCCTTGGTCTTATGAAGTCCCCACCGGCACAGTCCTTCCTTGGTCTTATGAAGTCCCCACCGGCACACCCCTTCCTTGGTCTTATGAAGTCCCTACCGGCACACCCCTTCCTTGGTCTTATGAAGTCCCCACCGGCACAGCCCTTCCTTGGTCTTATGAAGTCCCCACTGGCACACCCCTTCCCTGGTCTTATGAAGCCTCCACCGGCACACCCCTTCCTTGGTCTTATGAAGCCTCCACCAGCACACCCCTTCCTTGGTCTTATGAAGTCCCCACCGGCACAGTCCTTCCTTGGTCTTATGAAGTCCCCCCACCGGCACACCCCTTCCTTGGTCTTATGAAGTCCCCACCGGCACACCCCTTCCCTGGTCTTATGAAGCCTCCACCGGCACACCCCTTCCTTGGTCTTATGAAGTCCCCCCGGCACACCCCTTCCCTGGCTTATGAAGCCCCCACCGGCCCCCCTTCCCTGGCCTTATGAAGTTCCCCGTTTTCAGCTTGTGCTGCTGGCCTTTTATTGAGAAAGGTTAGGTAGCCATTTTCACATGGGTGTAGCCCTTTTACGTCTTTCTTTCTACATCCGTTTCTATTAGAGAAGCATTTTTTAACTCCAAACTTTAGATGGCGCTTTAGTATGATGCAAGACATGAGTCCAATATGTCAAAAGATCCAACTTTTGTAGGGCTGTCCTATCATTTAGGGCTGTTCCATCATGATAGAACAGTCCTACATCTGAGGCGTCCTTCTGTAAAACAAGTTTCTTTGAAAAATTGGACTCTACTAGGACAGGATGTTGACATAGTGCCGACTTAAGCTCTAGGAAGACCTTTTCAGTATCTGTGTGCCACTTGACCATGGTTCACTTCTTACCCTTTGTCAGATCAGTCAACAGATTAGGACAGGATGCTGACATAGTGCCAACTTAGGCTCTAGGAAAAACTTTACAGCATCTGTGTACCATGTGACCATGATCCACTTCCTACCCTTTGTCAGATCAGTCAACAGATTAGGACAGGATATTGACATAGTACCGACTTAAGCTCTAGGAAGACCTTTTCAGCATCTGTGTGCCACTTGACCATGAGCCACCACTTCCTACCCCTTCTCAGATCAGTCAACGGCACCACCAGGGTGGAAAAATAGTCCACCCTATATATCATAAGAAGCATCTTATGGTCTTCTCAGTCAAAAGTTAACTATAGCTGTAAAAAAAAAAGCGGTGGTAGAGCAGGCATGTTTGGCAATTAAATGGTCCTTAATGGGCACTTTGGTGCTTCCTATAAAGAAGGAAGTTCCATTTGGCTCCCAACCACGATTCAGTAACATGGATGGGACAGAATAAGGAGGCAAGTGCGTGGGTAACCTGATGATTATTGGCTCTCCGAGAGTTTTGGTTTGCCATAGAGCTCCCTACAACTTTCTTAAAAATTACCGGGAGCACACTTGATGTTCCTCTCACCAAGATCCATTAAGAAAGATCACAGAAAAAACACGTAAAGGAGTATAAAGGCATGGACAACACAATACGAGTAAAAGAGAGAAACCAAACCATTCATCTAGCAGACTCTAGTCTAATAGATATTTTCCTTCCTGGACAGAGTAAACAAGAAAGACAAGACTAGACCAGAAAACCGTTGTCTGCTTGGGCCTGAGGACTTGGGATGACTTATGACTTACTTGTGTCCATATGTAGAGAAGATTCCTCTGGTTTACTTTCTATAACCATCTCCTCCATAGACTGCTGATCTCCACTCACCAACGTCTCTTCTTCCTCCTCTTTAATAACGATATTGAGGTCTTTCAGTTGTTCATCCTGAACCCCAAATAAGGTAGAACAGATTTGTAAAAAAAAAAAAACCCCAAAAGATTACATAGAAGAATGTCATCTAATAGCGTAGAATACATTTTAGGTCTTCATGTTTAATCCAATCTACCTGATGATGGTGAGGGATGGTGTGATCCTTCTGTGTGGAATCCCTGGAATACAGAGGACGGGGACATCTCTCTGGTGGGTTCCCATTACTGGATCCATCTACCCGATGATGGTGAGGGATGGTGTGATCTTCCTGTGTGGAATCCTGGGAATACAGAGGACGGGGACATCTCTCTGGTGGGTTACCATTACTGGATCCATCTACCTGATGATGGTGGGGGATGGTGTGATCTTCCTGTGTGGAATCTCGGAAATACAGAGGACGGGGACATCTCTCTGGTGGGTTCCCATGACTGGATCCATCTGTAGGAAACACACACACTGACTGAATCCATTGTTTCTATGTGTTTATCAGACGATGGGGGATCTAGGTGGACCCTCCGTACTGCTCTCTCCTTTCCAATAAAGTCTCCTCTTACCCGGTGATGTGAGGGGAGGCTGATTGTCCATCATGACATCCTTGTAGAGGTCCTTGTGTCCTTCTAAATACTCCCACTCCTCCATGGAGAAATAGACAGTGACATCCTGACACCTTATAGGAACCTGACACACACAATGATACAGTCACCATCCAGACACATCTCTTGTCTGTTACTGGAAAATGTGCCAGAATTCCCGTCGCCGCTCACCTCTCCTGTCAGCAGATCAAGGATCTTCTGGGTGACTTCTAGAATCTTCTTCTCTTTTCTCTCTGTTGTCAGGCAGTGAGGTGGAGGCACATTGATGGGTGATGTCCTGAGAAGACATCTTTTGGGTCTTAATGGATCGCCAGATATTTTCTTCACTATTTTATAATCCTGAGTAAAATGAGAAAATTATCAATAAAGACTTCCCAGAATCCTCCTCACTTCTCTGGTAAGGCCTGTTCTTTATTAATAGATATAAGAGTGATGTCATAGGACCTCCCAGAATTCTCCTCACCTCTCCGGTTAGCAGGAAGATGATCTCCAGGGCGAGGTCTAATATCCTCTCAGTTATGTGGCTTTGAACCTTGTCCATCCTCCTTGAGGTGGTCATGTGATCTATTCAGGACTCTCCTCTCTGTCAAAGAATATTAAACTGATGTTCATTAGGACTATACTGGAATGAAGATGTCTCCACAATGTTCTTCTACAGTTCTCTCTTGGACCTCTTGTTATACTATATTACAGGCCTAATATTTCAACGAACT